CGCCCCCTCCACGCAGCCACCCGCGTGTCCCCCCCGCCCCAGACACTGCGAGGAGGCCGAATCACAGGGAGGGTTTTATAGAAACGCTGCTCCGGGAAGCGAAATCCCACCTTGCTCTGCAGCCGAGCGACCTGGAGGCTCTGCCCGCGCGGGAGCCGCGACAGGGGGGTTGACCTAGAAGCTACCAGCAGGCAGAGGGCTGAGACCTGGAGGGCAAAGATATTTTGCAGGTTTTAAGCAGTATTTAAGGGTGATTTTTGCAGCCTAAGACACCCCACACTTAGGATCAAAGCTGCAGTAGCACATTTTGAAACATGCAATGCTAAAATAATTGTATTAGGGTGGGCAATCCGTGCAAACCTTAGCACGTCCCTGCCTTCCCAAACCTGACATGGCTTCAGCACCACAGCACTGCACAGCACCTCCAAGTTTGCTCTCAGATGTGTAGGACACATCCTGCTCAAAACATGGTTTTGCTCACCCCAAAAGAGACTGATGGAGAAGGCAGAGAGGCTCTCTGGGCAATAAGTTCTGCTTCTCCCACAGATGCTGCTGACATCCAGTACAGAATTGCTTGGGAACCCCCTAGACATGTTCAGAGCTACCCCTATTTTAATTCCACTTTAACGCATTTTGGGGGATATTCACTACATAACAAGTAAAGCAGGTGCTGCTTAAGACAAGGTAATTTTCCTCTTTCATGAGAATAGCTCCTAGCTCTGGCAAGGAGCAAGGGAAAACATGACCCATAGATGAAGCCCTCCCATAAAACACAGTCTTAATCCTTAAAGAAGGTTTTTGTTTCAGCACATTAACAAGAGTGTGAGATAAACACTAGACATTAATCATTAATGGATTGATTTTCAAAGGCTAGAGGAAGGACAGCAGTAAATCAGTGCAGGAGAACACGTCTGGGCAGCCCAAGAGTCTGCGGGAAAAGCACTTGCAAATTCAACTCTGCTCTCCTCTGCTGGCTCCCACCCCAATAAATGCACTTAGCCCTTCACATACCCATTTTATGCTAATTCAGTGCAGCAAATACAGTGTGTTCCTCTATTTGTCTTGTTGCAGTGGTTGTTTTGACTCAATAGAGCCTGGTGTTTGGAGATGAGGGACAGATGGGACTGAGTTTGCCACCTTCAGCACCCAGGGCAAAGACCTGGGTAGATGACAAGTATGTCACCTACCCAACCTACCCTTAAAATCCCAGCAGCACCATTACTGTCTAGCCATTCTGGATGAACAAACTTTATTTCAAGATAACCTGGTTTAGTACTAACAGTTGCATTCACAGTCATCTCAGCTAGGTTAACTTTTCAGATGCTGCCTCTAGGAGGGGAGGATTTTTTCAGAAAACATCCCACAACTACTTGCATTTTGCAACAGCAACAGACCACAATCCAGAATTTGTTTTTCTTTCCTTTCAGGAGGTGAAAACGTCTGTCAGCCGTGTTGCCACCTTCAGAGCAGTTTGTTGATCTTTTTTTAATCAAAGCCATCAGGAGCACAGAATTAATTTCCACAAGATGCAAAATCATTCTTCACACAGGAAAGCAAGCTAGCCAGAGAGGAGAGGGAAGAAGGCTCCCTTGTTGGGAGATGAGAAGCAGGTCTGAGATGTTGGAGCAAGGCTGGAAATCCAGCTGCCACTCCTGAGATGATGGGTGGTTGTACAGCATCTGCCAGATGCTCATTAGCAACATTTGCACCTAAAGTGGCAAGCCACTGATGGGCAAAAATTGATCTTTGGGCAATCATTGCATATTCTAAGTCTGGCACCCAAGAGCAACATGCATCACAGCCTCATTTCTCCCACTTCTGTCCACAGCATAACACCAAAGGTGATCACTGAACACACTCTTCCCAGCAAACCCAATGACATTTCAGTGCATGAGCACAGGTGATCCTACTCACTGCAGTTGCCCAGCTCCATAACTGAGCTTATGGAAGCTGAGCTCCATAATCACGGTGCAAAGCCATTTGTTGCAAAGAAAACAGGCAGATTTGCTCTTTGTTAAGCACTTGTGCAAAAGTTAGCAGAAGAGGTTCCACTTTCCTGATGAACAGTTCCTTCCTTTTCATAGTCAGCTGCTTGTTCCTCATAACTCCAAGTTCATGCTTACAGCAAAAACCATCCTAGAAACACTTTCCTTCCCCATTCTGTCCTCTTCAGCACTGGCTTCACAGGTGCTTCTCCAAGCTGACTCTCCCCAAGCTTTCAGGTTTTGCTAAGCATGTGGACAAACCTGGGAAGTGTCAGCACCCTCTCAGTCCCATGTTTCTCCTGAACCCCAGAATGTCTCTGAGCTCCAATGCTGCCTCCACCAAGGCTGCGTTTAGCACAGATCAGCATTGACTGCAGTGGGTAGGAGAGCAGCACCAGCCCTCGATGCAACTTTCAGCAAAGCACCAAGCCCCAAGGCCAGAGCCAGGCCAGGTAATGGGGTTAGTTAAAAAAAAAAAAGGCTGCACTAACAGAAGAGCGAGAGCTCTTTCAGAGCTGGAAAATCCCCAAGGGAGACAAAAAGCAGTATTTAGGGCAGCTGAGCTATGAAACAGCATGAAGAGTTCAGAGCACAGGGAAATTGCTGCTCACCCCTGCACTGACTTCAGAAGAAAGAACAAGAGCCATTTGATTCAGTATGGGAAAACTTTGGTGTATAGAAATCACAAGAGTCATTTGATTCAATATGGGAAAACTTTGGTGTATAGAAATCACTAGTCTGTGGTGTACAGCTAGACCACCAGAGAAACCAGCTGGAAGAAGGAAAGGTCAGAGCAGAATGGAATAAGTTGTCCCTTGGGCTCAAAAATGCCTCCCCAACATCTCTTCAATGAGGCAATTCTACAGGATTGTGCAAAGAGCACTGACAAACTCCTTCCCCGTGCAATGCTGCAAGTCATGCAACATGGTAAAGCAAGAGGGATCCCAAAAGTGAATTATCTGCCTACCATCCTCAAAGGACCAGTTTGAAGAATAAGAAGTAGCACCTTTTAAGAAGGGACAGAGTGACTTTGTCAATATTTGCAAATATATTCATTACAGCATCTGCATTTGCTTCATCAGCCTCCTCTTGGAGGAGACAGAAATCTCCATAAACTCTTTTTAGCAATCTTAAGCATCAGAATTGAGAAAAACAAAGCCACTGTGCTCACAAGGCTCAAATTGGAACTAATTTGGGAAAACAAAGTCCCTCTTCTAGAGCCTCAGAGCCCCCATCTTCCTCCTGCAAGAATTGCACTCTTGGAAAAGAGACAGTCAAGGGGAGGTTTTGGGAGAAGGCAAACGCACGCAGCAGGACAAGGGTGCAGAGCATCGCTCATTTGGCAGGAGGCACCAATCTCCTATAGGATCCATCTTCTCTTGTAAGAACAAGCCCAAGCACTTGTTTGCAGACAGCTCTTAACTCGAGCCTGCCATCCAACCGCACACACACTTCTGAAAACTGGACATTGCTGCATCCAAGCAAGGACTGGTCCATAGGAACAGGGATATAACACAATAAGAAAAAAATCATGCAAGAGATAGCAGCTGTCTGGGTACATCTAGGCAGCAGAGCTAAAATCAGTTGATTCTTCTTTGCTAGAATAGCAGGACAGTGAAACAAGTATAATTTGTGGCCATTCTAAGCACAAACACAGCAAAAAGACTATTACTTCCCTTCCATCTCTCTTTGCCTCTGCATTTGCCCTCCAGCTCCCAAATCCAGGAGCCCACAATGTTACCAAGCCACAAAATGCATCAGGTCCTGCTAGATACGCTGCAACCATGCAATGAGAGAAGAAAGCCATTGATTCCCAAAGCCCAAGCACAGCCCTGCAGGATGAAGTGCTTCTGCCCTCCTGCCATCCCTCCAGGCTTCCAGCACACCTTGCTCACAGGCAGGTCAAAAGGGAGATCAGGGGGTCCAAACCCCATAGGCTACAATGAACAAGGAGAAACTGAACTTGCTTCATGCTAGCAGCTGACTTCATCTTAGCTAATGCCATCTGCAGCCCTCACTGCTTACAAGTAATTAAAATTTTTGGTAGAAGTGCTATCCACTCAGAGCAAAATCCCTCAAGCTTTAACAGGAGAAGGAGAGCACACGATGCTACTCACTTCACTGATATTTTATTGTTTGCCATCATTATTTGCAATTTTCCAGGGAGTGATCATTTCAGGTGATTGAGGATGAAGCCATTAAAAATCCTCTCTGCAGATTCATATTCTTTTTTTTTCCTGTCTCATTCCTCCCTGCCATTTCAAAACCACAGACCTTGAAGTGAGCAAATCCCTCCACTCTTCAGAGACAGAAAATCTCCTTCCTCCTGCTATTGCTCCAGATATTCCCCACCATCCTGAGAAGAAACACCTGGCATCCAGGGCTCACTATTCACAAGTCTCAAGTTGCCTCCATGCCATAGCAACCCTGAAGACTTTAGTCCAAATGCCAGAAGAAGAAGTAACTGATTTAGGAAAAAAAAATGCAGTGACAACAGCATGATTTACAGAGGTATTAGGCAAACCAGAGCAGAGAAGCAGGTAATGAATTCAGATCCTAAAAGCCCCATCCCAGCATCTAAATCTCTTGTCTCTTGGGGAGGAAAACATCTGTGCCCACACAGTCATGTCTGCAGAAGACCTTCAGAGCAAGGCATTGCTTATCAGCTCTGCACTGCCCCAATTTCACTTCGTGAACAGCTTTGAGGACGACAAATCCACCAAAAGAAACAAGCCCCAGGATATTCAGTGTCCTTTTGCTGTTTACCTCCCTCTAACTGTGCTTGCTTCCCTCAAAGCAATGCTGCTCAAGATCTTGCTGTTATTTGGATCAATAGCAACAGATGTCTGATAACTTGCTCGCAGGCATTTGCTTTCAGAATTATGCCCCCTTGAAGA